TGTAAATCTGACTGGCAGGTCATAAATCCAAAGAATGAGCCTTGGTCATAAATCAAAAGTTGTTAACCAGGTTAACAGCTTTCAAAGAACACTATTGAAGGATGCAAAATAATGATGGATAGAAAAAATGGATAAGAAGATAAAGAAATATGTGTACCAATCAACAGAGTTATGGTTAGAACAGGTACCCAGTTTGAAAAAATAAAGACAATGAAAAGACTTACACATTTGTTTTTGGATGAAAAATACTGAAACAAATTTCTCAGGTAGGAGACATAGCTCAGTGGCATAAGCACCTGCCTGGCAAGTGTAAGGTCCCTGAGTTCAATCCCTGGTACCTCAAAAACAAAGAAACAAAAAAATTTCTCTAGTTGAAAAGGCTACGCCATAAAATTAGTTTAATGCCTAGACCATAATGATGCTTTACTTCTTTGCTTGTTCTTATGGTACTGAGGATCAAACCTTGGCTGCTCCACACCATGAAAAATAAATGGACCTTGCTAGGCTGGCCTCTGAATTTACCATCTCTCGCCTCTGCCCGCTGAGATAATGGATTAACATGCCATTCCCTTTTCCATTCCCCCGCTCCCATAGCACAAGCGAGCTCCCTCCAAAACTTTATCCTTTGAGTCTGTATTTTATGGCTAAAATTAGGGACCACAAATTCAAATATTTTCATGGACCACGCAGCAAAGCTAGGGATGAGGAAATAACAGACGATAAAGACAGAGCTACCAAATTGTATTCTAATTAAGATTTTTAAAATCGAAGGGCAAGCAGAACACATCATTCAAGCCAGACTGTTGCAGGATCATCATCGCGAGATTTCCTATCACTTATGGTGGTGGTCTGGGAAACGTGCGTTGCGATGAGCTCCACCTTATCCGGGTTTCTGTTAGAGTCGTTTCTCTTACTTGCAACAGCTTCCCGGCCGACAAGGCACACTGGAGGACCCGGAGCGACCCCGCCACTTCCTCACACCCACAGAGCGAGCGCTTCCGCCTCCGGGGGGGAGGGGCGGGACACGGTCCATTATGGGCGGGGCTAGGTCCCTTCTGGGCGGGGGCTAGGCCCTTCTGGGCGGGGCTAGGTCCCTTCTGGGCGGGGGCTAGGCCCTTCTGGGCAGGGCTAGGTCCCTTCTGGGCGGGGCTACGTCCCTTCTGGGCGGGGCGCGGGCGGCGCCTGCGCGCTGGGCGGGGCGCGTCGGGGGCTTCCTGGGGCCTGGGCGCGGCGCGCAGACTTCCTTCCAGTCGGCATCTTCCCTGCTTTCCGAGCTGCCGTCGCGGGAGCGCGCGCTTGACGTGCCCGCGGTGCTGGGGCGCCGCGCGAGATGGAGGCGGAGGGTGCCCAGGGTCCCCGGGAGCGGCGCGGCGAGGCCGCGGCTCAGAGGCCGGAGCACAACCATGTGCAGCCGCAGTCCGGCACCAACGGGCTCCCCAAGCAGTCCTACTGGCTGGACCTCTGGCTCTTCATCCTCCTCGACCTGGTGCTGTTCTTCTTCGTATACCTTTTGCCCTGGTGAGTGACCGAACGCAGGTTGAAGGGGTGGCGGCGGACGTGACCCCGACCGCGCAGCTGCGGAGGGCGTGCTGGGCGAGGGGAGGCGACGCCTAGGGCCCGCCACGTTGGCCTTGACCCCTCCGTGAAGCTTCCGAAGGACGTTAGTCACCGTTCTCCTCCTCTGTTTTGCAATAGAACCAGTTGGGTTTGAGTCGCTGCACCTCAGGGAAGGAGCTGGAGACCTTCACCTCTGGCAGCTGTACTTTCTCAGCTGTAGAGCTGGGATCCGTAGAGACCACACAGGAAAGGTGTAGTTGAGGTTGAATGAGAGTGATTCATCTGCAAGGGCTGTGCAGCGCTTCTAAATGTTCAGCTAATGACATGTCATACCTGCTTACACACACACACACACACACACACACACACACACACACACCCCGAATCCCATCTGATACCCATCTGATGAGGTAAAATTTCCATTCACTCAAAGTGAAGAAAGAGCCCAGAGAACAGGCAGGAAGAAATGGAACAGGAAGAGGGATGCAGGACCGAGAAGGGGCAAGTCCTAGAGAGACCAGAAGAGGGAAAGACCTCCCAAAGAAAACCAGGGTAACCTGTTTACAGCTTTCTTGGGCTTTGGGGTTGACAACCACTCACTGGAAATTAACTCCGCTCAAACATCGTTCTTCTGAGGTTTTAGTTTTAATTTGAATTTTTTCATAGGCAATTCCTGTCTTTGCCCACAAAACTGCCCTACATCTTGACAAAGCTTACAGTATCTAACACTTTATTATTTCTGATTTCTTGGATGCCATGGCAAATCAGGAGACAACTGAATGGGAGAATGTTGAAAGAGATGAGTATTTCTATAAAGGTCTTTTCCAAGGGCTTTGTTAAAGGGAGTTTGGACTTCCCCTTCCCTGGTTTTAATAGAAACAGTGATTGCCCTTTAAGTTAAAAAATGGACTTAAAAAAAATGGCCTAGACTTTTTTTGCTCATATTATTTAAGTCATTTAGGAATAGGAAAGTCAGGTGTTACAGAGATTGGTATAAAGTGTGAGGATAGGGAGATAAAAGGGAATGTTGCTGATAAATATTCCCTTCTTACAGATTGGTTTGCTGATATCCCAGGAAGTTGACTTCTGGAGTGAATTCTGATGACAGCTACAAATTTCTTGAATAAAGAAGATATTCTGTGGCAGCAGAATTTCCAACTTCTTCCTCACATTTAACACATTAACTTATTGGAAAA